AAATTCATGATCAGAATCAATTGAATAACCTTTGATTCATACCTGAGCACTATTAATACCCCCACCGCAAAGAATCACTTCTCCTTTTGGAGCAATAAAAGCGTTATTAACCCTACCATTACAGAAATATTTAACGCCAATTGCTACATTTTCATCATTCTTTTCGTCATCCCAAATAATATTCAACATGTGGGCGAAAGATTTGACATTTACGGCGACGACCTTTGCAATGCCTTCACCTAATGGACAAATTTCAACCTTTTTCATTGCATCTGTCAAATAACCGTCAGCCAACGAAAAGCGCTTTCCATCTTTCAACGTAGACTACGTTATATAATTAAATGATTAAATTACATAACCATCAAAAGTTTCCCCCATGTATACCATTATTTATCACCTGATATTTTCCGATTCCATTTTGTCTAACACCATTGAAATCGTTATTATAAGGAACGCCAAGACTTTTTGTAACTTCAATGAAATCCTTTATAATATCATAAGGCTTATCAAAACTATCTTGTACATGGAGTAGACCATTAAATCCATGATATTTTTTAAATTCTTCGTCAGGATTTTCATGCGAATTGTTTTCGGTTGCTTTGAAAGCTTTTATTAAATAGACAGTTCAAGTTAAATTTAAGTTTGGTAACAAATATATATACAAGGATTAATAAATACCTTCAAGACAATGATCATAATCCCAAATTGAATACTCAGGACCTTGGGCCGCCCAACTATCGTAATCGGCTTTTTGGCCTCGCCTAAAAATAGTGATCATAAGCATAATAAATATTGTACACTCAAAGTTGTATAAAGGATTTTTCTTTTTTTTTAAAAAATAAAAAAACCTATTTAATTGAATGCGGATGAAAAGAATACATACATATAAATCATTGCATTCACAGTACTACAACCTCCAATGACCTTACCACGCGGATAGGAGGATCCTTTATTTAATACTTCTTTGGTAGGATCGATCGAGCTCGGCATTTTTTGATCTTCTGTATGATATCCCCAATCTACTTCACTTGATCGATAAACCTATTTATAATACATATTTCGTCAATCAAAGAATTCGATAACATGATTGATTTGATAACACTCACCGAAGCAAAAGTACAAGGTAAACGCATTATATCATTAACTTGAACATTTGGTGGACCAGCTTCCAATAGCAAAATATTAACATTGGGAACGTTGTAAATGAGTTCTCTTGCTAATACACATCCGGCGGTTCCAGCTCCAACGATTATAAAATCATAAACTTCATTGGCCTTGTTGA